CAAAACCAATGAACCTTTTTGACCTTGACCTCAATTTAGTAAGGTCATCTATGTACTACAGTACACTTTGAAGTTAGGTGACAGTGAAGCAAACACTGTAAAAGATATTGATCAGATTATATTTGCTATAAAAACCAGGTGACCTTTAAATTCGGCACCGTATTAAATTTTCTTTTATTTACCAAGTTATACATCTCAAATACTAGTGTTACCAAAAGATTGCGGAATTAATTCTTTTAACAGACAATTTCTCAATCCCGATAATAAACCTAACAGTTCGCATTGCTTAACGGCGGCCTTCACTTAGGTCTACGACGTCCAGTTCCTGACTTTCAGTTTGTCTTCATTTTTTGTTGGTCTACAAAACGCCTCTTCTATCGGATAACCAGTCAAGCCATCTACAAACCTTTCAACTAAGGTTAAACCTGTGTCCGAGATTTATTTTTCTGTTTTTCAATCGTTTACATCTCTTTCATTGTATGGACAGGAGTCATATCCCGCTCAACAGAGTACTGCTTAATAATTTGGTGCTCCACATTATCGCCAAACGTCACCATTTTTGACAATTTCTAATTAAAAGTGCTTTGGCTTATAACGTAATATATTTGTCATTTACGATGTCAAATTAATGAATTTTTATACATGAGTACACCAGAATAAAGAATATTTATGGAGGTAAATATTGTGACATCATATTTCCGTTTGACCTGGTAATGAAGAAAACTTCATTGACAATGCTACTTTTAAAAGTCAAAAAAATTGCCGTGCGCCGATCCCCGATATTTAACACACTTTAAATACTGATTTTAAATACTTATGACATCCCAAGCCTAAAACATTTTGTCAAAATATCGAAAATATCATTTTCCAACAACGTGCAAAAAATTATTAGTTTTGGTCGAATAGTTTCTGAAATATTCAAAAAGTTCCCGTTTTTATGGGACAACCCTCTTATATCTAAAATAAAAGCTAATTGATTCAAATCTCCTATTGTAATACAATTCATTGAAAGTTTAACTACTGTTTCTTAAATTAACTATAAACTAACTTAATTAGAAAAGGACTTGTGACGCTACATATTGTCGTTTTGTACATATTGTCATCGGAGACAATATGTACCTACCCTCACTGCACATGTTGTCGTCCCATGCACAGATATAAGGTAGCTAAAAGGGTTTATTTTGAAAAGGAACATTTGTGTACTATTAAGGGATGTGTTGTTTGAATCTAAAGGGCTTCTATGTCATCCTTGTTATAATAAAAAATGGCACGAAAATCACGAGTGCTCCATACCCTCTTAGGCCTCTATCAAAAAACGGCACAAAAATCACGAATGTTGCATATACTCTATGAAAATTGTTGCATATCCTCCATCAAAATATGGAAGGAAAATCACAAATGTTCCGTACCCTAAGTCAATTGGTAAAGTTTAAGGCTGACTGGACTTAAGGGAAAGAAAATTATGCACCGAACAAAGATTTTAAACAGAGAGGCTCTTTTTTACCTAGACCTAGAAACTTCGTTCAAGGTCACAGCACAGCACTCTGTGAGTGAAGTATGAGCCATATTGGACCAAGGGGAGAGAAGATATGCTCCGGACAAGGATTTTTCATATAATTCTGCAATGACCTTAACCTTAGACCTAGAAACATGGTTCAAAGTCACTGCACACCCTTTACCCAAAGGCACTCTGTGGGTGAAGTATGAGCCAGATTGGGCCAAGGAGAGAGTAGACATGCTCCGGACAAGAATTTAAAAAGAGAGGCTATTTTGGACCTTGACCTAGAAACTTTGTTCAAGGTCACTGCACATCCATTGACCAGTGGCACTCTGTGAGTGAAGTATGAGCCACATTGGAAAGAGGAGAGAATATGCTCTGGAAAAGGATTTTTCATATAATTCTGCTATGACCTTAACCTTAGACCTAAAACATGGTTCAAGGTCACTGCACACCCTTTACCCAAAGACTCTATGTGGGTGAAGTACAAGTCAGATTGGGCCAAGGAGAGAGAAGATATGCACCGGACGGACAGACGGACGAGCGTACAGACTGATCACTATAGGGCGCCCGCAGAGCGGGTCCCTAATAAAGTTGTTACCGATTGCCACCATCTGTCGTCAGTGTTTGCCGAGTTAACATCCATCTGCTTTTCAAGACAGCCAAAACATCTTGACCAACCAAAATCAAGCGCTCGAAGCACTCTTATTTAACAACACACACTATCCACATTTCGATTATGCCGAAAAGAGTCTACATTTATTATATACAACAAGAAATGTGACCGTGGAGTAGAAGTATCAATTATAAAAGGTCAGTTTGACCAAATTTTCTTGAACGACGATTGAAATTTAACTTTATTCTGTTCTTATTTTGTTTTAATAAGAAATCATAGTTTTATATTCTAAAGAAAAATAGTTAATGGTATGATCAAAACGGGAAACCACCAAACGTAAGTAAATTAACGTAATAAATTGTCAAAAATATGATAAAAATCAGGTCTCTGTCATAGCAAAAAACAACTTTGCCGTCTGTCGTCCCAGTTGCATCGGCAGTCCCAGTTGCCGGTAATACGGTGTGAAGACATTTTTGTGAGAATTTTCAATTACTGAAAAGCTAATTTCGGAACCTGAGGATCGGACTAGCTTAATTTAGTAAATCTACCATATCATGATATCAAAGATTAAGCTGTCACACAATATCAACTTCTTCAACGCAAGTGAGTTAAGGATAAGTATAGACGTTTCTATGAAAATGTACTAATCAAAACGCATAAGGGCTATACTTATTATAAAGAAAAGGTTAAAACTTATTTTCTAATGCAAACTTGGTACCCGCGACAAGTGATATCCAGTACACATTATGACGTCATTGCTCTCTACTACACAAAGTTATAAAGAACATCAACAATACAGCTTCGGCGCAAGGGCATATCCTATTTATTTTTACAGAAAAAGGGTCTAACTAGAAGCAGAATATTCCAAGGATTTGCGATATTGCTACACTAATGTCGACAGATCAATTGTTTAGTTACTATTTGTAAAGTTTTGCGTGGAAACAGGGTAAAAATTCACAGTCCCGTATAAGTTTCCTCAAATTTTTATCAATCAAGAAAGTGTATAGGATTTGTGCAGCACTTTTATTAATCTTTAGAATATTCTTCGTAGAATTATACATTATTTACTTAAAATTAAATAGGGTATGTCCTTGCTATAGATTCCTTATTTTTCGCGAGTGACGACTGAACGCAAGGTGAACGCAAAGTGAACGAACGGAGAGCGAACGGTTAACACTTTGTGAACGGTGAACGCGAGCGCACGGTGAACGCAGAACGCAAAACTGTGAACGGAGAGCGAACGATGAACGCACGGTGAACGAACGGTGAACGCACGCTGAACGAACGGTGAGTGAACGGAAAAATGGGAAAGTAGAACGTTTCAGGGACTGTAATTTGCGAGTGGATGGTTGATCAAGTGATTTTACATTGATTTCAGCATCATAAAAATAAAGGCGAGTAATTTTATTTCGCGAGTGGTGCTTCTCGTGTAATTACGCGATAATTAATTCCTCGCGTATATTTAGGAATCTACAGTAATAAATATACCTCTTTTGCATTTTTATTAGCTCATTTGCATAAAACGCCTATATACCTAGTCTTAAATCACTTGCTAATGTCTAATCTTTTATTAAACTTAAAAACATAGGTAATCAAATATTATGAAGCTCACCTCGACGAATGTTATCTATAAGCAAGGCAAATACATGTATCACATCATGTTTTTTTTATAGTTAGTGTGCATTCCAAGTTCAATATCAATGCAAGTTTGGTTTAAAAGGATTTATAGGTGCTTGGAAGTGGATCTGCTCCAAAATCTGTAACCCGTTTATTATTTAAGACAATGTCATTAATAGTTCCAAATCTGGAGCAAGTATGGAAGAGTCCATCCTAAAGTACAAGATTAATCATAATAGGCTCATAGTTACTTGGGAATAGACCTGCTCCAAAAACTTTAACCTGTCACTCATCTGGAAAATGAAGGTCAGATCCAGCATCCGAAGCAAGTTTGGTAATGTCCATCCTTAGATGCATTCCATGCAAGTTTGGTCCAGGTAGGACTTATAGTTACCTGGGAACAGACCTGCTCCTAAAACTTTAAACGGGACGCTGATCCTAACGCCGACGCCATTGCCAGGGGTATAGCATAAGCTCATCTCTACTTCCTCGAGGTGAGCTAAAAATGTATATACATGTATTCCAAAACTGGATCATTCCAATGCCAAAGATCAAATAGTCAACAAAATCAAAATGAAAAGCCTACACATTTCTAATAGCACACTTGAAATAAAATGAACACTTTCCTTCCAAAAACGTCTTGCTTTAATATAGGATATATCTAAAATAATGGTTACATTGATTCAAATCTACTTTAATACAATTAATTGTGACCCAAACCTATCCCCAAGAGTCAAATTTTGATCAAACTTGATTCTACTCTACCTGAAGATGCTTCCACATCTATACTTATCTTTTTCATGCTGTTCTTTAGCATAAGATTTTAAAATTATTTTTAGTATATATTCCTACATTAAACTTTTGATCGTCCATTGTAGCCCAACCCATCCAGGGGTCATGATCAGGAACATTTTTGAATTTACACTAACTGAGGATATTTGCACATCAATACGACAAATCATAGCTTTGCTTTTCTTGACAAGAAAACTTTTAAAAGATACCACAAAATCCATTTTTGAATTCTCTCACTTTGGAAGATGGCATGACCCTTCATTTTAACAAATTTGAATCCTTTACACAAAGATGCTTTGTGGCAAGTTTGGTTGAAATTGGCCCAGTGGTTCTGTAGAAGATGAAGTTGTAAAAAGTTAACGACGACTACAATGACAGAAAACGGACAAATTTTGATCAGAAAAGCTCACTTGAGCCTTCAACTAAGGCGAGCTAAAAAAAAACAATACAAAATTTTTTTTTAATTTTATTACACTATATGGAATATGTACAATTAATATTTATAAATTGACATTGATATCATAAGTTTCCTGGTTCTAACTGAATTTCATTTCCATACTACAGCAAATAAAATTGAGCTGAATGTAATACATAAATAACAATAATCTATTTATCCCTCAAATATCACATGAGTGCATAAAAAAAGAATTAAAATCAGTATATCATCAACAAATTAATAAAATTTTGCCAAAAGTTATCAGGTTGAATGGGGAAAAAATATGTTCAGATTTCAACTTTTAATGCCATAAGCAAACATTTGTCAACCTTTGACCAATTTTAAAGAGAATATTTGTGCATTTTCTTTTCTGTTGTTTTACTTATCATCCTCATTAGAAACTCCATGCCTTCAATTAGTCAAACATAAATAATCAATGGAAGACAATGAAAATATTTTTAAGTTCATCATGTTCTTTGTTATATTTTAATGTGAAAAAATAATGGTAAGGTTAACTTGAAAAAAAAATATCATGGAAGAAGCAACATAAAACGAAATAAAAATAAGAAAAAAATCATCGTAGAATTTAAATAAATAGTGATAAAATGAATACAACACAAACTTAACAATGAGATCTTAAGGCTACAACACTCACCTGAGACATTGGTAAACAATTCAACTGCTGAAAGCCCCAATTATTAGAACATACCTATTGACTTTTCAGGTTTTGAAATATTGCCATTTAAAGCTTTGATCTCTTACCATTGCCATCTATAACCCATGGGGCTATGATCTTGATGACAAACAAATTATACCCCTACTGTTCTTCAAAAGATCTAAAGCATATTTTAAAATATTTCTTCCTACATTTCCAATGCAAACCTTTGATCTCATCATGTGGCGTCATTATATCACTAAGGGTTACAATTTAAAAAAAAAGCTACACAGTCTGAGGACATGTGAAAATTAATATGACTAATCATGGGCTTTTATTTCAGAGAAAACAAGATATGTTTGTGAAACTCTGACCCTTATGTGAAACGAGTAGCTGATTGTGAAGGTTAAAGTTTCTCAAATGCAAGTCAAACTCTGAGGTGGTCAAAGGATTGAAATATTGGTACTCAAAGACAAGGCCCATGGGAAACAATGCTTACCTAAGTCAATACAGTCCTGTTCTTCCACATGTTTTCCTAAATTTTAAGTAAAACTTTGATCCACCATTGTGCCCCCCCCCCCCCCGGTCAAGTTTGAAAAAAAAAATTACACTACCTGAGGATGCTTCCATATTAGTATGACTAATCATGACTTTTGTGTTTAAGACAAGTTTTAAAGATTTTTTTTCTGTATAAACCAATGTAAAACTTTGATCCCAAATTGTGGCCCCATCCTATAACTACCAGCAAGAAATGGGGGGGGGGTGTCTTGATTTGAACAAACTTGAATCTACATTGCTTTAGGATACTTCAATATGAATATAAATAAACAGGTTTTGCTGTTTTAAGAAGAAGATTTTTAAAGATTTTTCTATATATTCTTATGTAAAACTTTGATCCCCAACTGTAGTCCAATCCTACCCCTGGGGATGTCAGGTTTTGATCATACATGTATCTGAATTTACACTATCTGAGAATGCTTCCCTATTAATAAAAATCATGGCTTTGTTGTACTTGAGAAGATTTTTAAAGATTGTTTTCCTATATAATCCTTTGTAAAACTTAGATCTCCTTTTCAGGCCCTACCTTACTCCCAGAACTCATTCTTTAAACAAACTTGAATCTATGCTATGTAAGGGAGGTTTCGCATAACTCTTTTTTGCCCCATAGCTGTTGAGAGTAATTTAACTAATTTTAAAAAAAAATCACCAAATTTTCTCCAATTCTTAGTAATCTTCCCTTAAAAGAGGTTGTGCTCCTTCATTTGAACAAACTTGAATCCCCTTCACTCAAGAATCCTTTGTGGCAAGTTTGGGCAGGTCTTGTCAGAAGGAATAAATCTGTGAAATATTAAAACCCTGGCACAAAATTCATTCAAATTTTATAGCCAAGGTTAGTTTTACAAAAGTAACTCAAACTCCAAGGTCAAAGTGTCAGAATAATTGGCAGCCAATGGAAGGTCCTGTCACAAGAAATATACCTGTGAAATTTGATATCCTTAGTACCAACAATTTAAAGTTATGGCCAAGGTTTAATTTTTTTTTTCAAAAGCAGGTAAAACATCAAGGTCAAAAGCTAATACCCAAGGGAAAGTTTTGTCACAAGAAATATACATGTGACATATGAAATTTATGGAAATAACAAACAATCTTAAAAGTCCATGTTAACAATAGAAATCAGGAGCAGAGCAAACAGGGACCTTTAAATCATCAGAGGTGGGATCAGGTGCCATGGAGGAGTGAGCATCACCTGTCAACGGGTTACACCAGCTGTGTGCTCTTTGTCATGATTGGGAAATAATGGAAAAATCCGTCTACAATTCAGTGTGTAAATAATGGCCTAACATTTAGTATCAAAAACTTCAGTCAACATTTGACTTTATGATTGCCCTAGCACCAACCCTTTACAATTTATGGCCAAGGTTAAAGTTTGGTGAAATTTTTGCAAAAGTAGGTTAAAATCCAAGGTCTAGAGGTAAAATACGTTGTAACTCAAAAATGGTCTTTTCACAAGAAAAACACATGTGAAATATGAAAGCAATAGCTCCCATCACTCAAAAAGTAATGGACAAGGTTAAAGTTTTTGCAGATAGATTGACAGACAGATGGACAAAATTTGAGTGAAGGGGGGGGGGGGGATGAAAATTCTTTAGTCTGTTTTTTAATCAACACTAGGTAAGAAAGTTTTCAAATAAGTTTATGTTTTCTATCTCAGTAGTCCTTGGGATGACAGGCAGAAAGATGGACAGGTGACAACTTGATCAGAGGTTATCTGCACCTTAAGCTCAAGTTAACTAACACAGCATATGCCATCATCATGATCATGCAAATTAAATTTTTGTACAAAAAGCTTCAAGGAGATTTGGAAGAAATTTAAACGACCCTCTTTATAGTGTACTCTGATGAAAAATGTTTTTTGGACTTAGAAAAATATATGGCATAAATGAGCATATTTTGAAATTTACTAGTTCATTTTTAGTATAGAAAGAGTGCCTTTTTATGTCCAGGAGAAATCTTTAAAGAAAATGAATTAATGATAAAGAAAAATTGCTTCTGTTTACTCAAAAGGAGAAAATATATGATGATAAAGTTAACTACTGTATCTTCATGATCTTGGTCCTAAATAATGGTTAGAATACTTAGATTTACTTTAAATCATGCCATACACTGCAGATTACAACTTAATATATTTTTATGTCCAATGGTGGGTCAGTCTTACTACACGAAAGTATCCTGAAATTAAGGTCCAGTGTAAAGAGGATTGTTAAAAGCTGAGCAGCAGGCTTTTCTGCCATAACAACCAAGTTTGTTTAAGGTATCCGATCCATAATAGCCTCAGATTCAATAAATCTGAATGCATAACAGATATATATTAGCTGAATACTCAGTATATGTAGACATAATCTTCATGTTTTAGTATCAATATGTAAGAGCCGAATGTGTCCTAATTTTTGACCTTGTCCTGTCCTTGAAGAGTTATCCCCCTTTGCTTTTAATCAATATAAATCAATTCTAAAAAAAAATCTATCTGGAAAAAAAAGTTTTTCTATTCCTAATAATAAAATACATCTTTCCACCACAGCATTTCTTGATATTCTTAGAATTAATCAAAAATTTGCTTGTCCCCATAGACCTCAATGCATTCTTCATTAATTAATTACTGCTTAGGTAATTATATCTTTGAAAATTTCTCCTGGTAAATCCTTTTCTACTCTAAAATGCTTTGAATTAATTTCTGAGTATTTAATACAGGATGGATATTTAAGATTAGAAAATTGGGTCCTTTTATGGATGGGATACCTTAAGAACCAGGTTTTAAGTATGTCTTATCAAAATTGGAATTTTTCACTATTTCATTTATCTAATTTTATATATTCTGAATAAAGCATGAAATGTTTTTTTGTTTTTGCTTTACTTGTTTCTTTTTGTCTAAATGATGGGCTGTAAGAAATATCCTTTGTTTTGTCAAACACCTGCAGCTCTTTCAATATTTTATGAAAGTTACAACTTTGGGAAAAGTCTTTCAGAAGTGTATCATTTAATTTTGGGCCAAAAAAGCAGTGATTGAGAACCATCCAAATTTGCAAAATAGCCGACAAGTTGAATCTCACTCCACTTTCATCCCACAATGATGCAGGTTGATGTCCACTACTTAACAATATGTCATTTTCATAATCATACATCACAATGTAATAATGAAGAGGAGTTAAAACCAATGAAGGCACCAGTGTAGGACTAAATAATCCTTTACCATCTGCATAAGCAGCATTTGCTTCACAAAAAGAAAATGTAATAGCTTGACTGAGTATCTGCTCAGCACATTTTTCAAAGATCAATTTTGCACCTTTAACTTCACATATGTCAGTAGACCTACAGTTCTCCTGCAGGCAATCTTTTGTGAGAATGCCTTCATCCTCTTGCAATTCATCTTCAGGATCATCACCAATAAAGCAGAGTGGTATGTATGAAAAGCGTGGAGGCACCAAAACTATATCAGGATGTCCGTACCAAATTTCCTCACATCCTTAAAAAAAGAGAATTTTTTGAGAAACAAATAAAAATGTGGTAATGTCAAGCAAAAGATCAATGGGCCAAACTGCTCAACTGAGTTACTATGGTGTTGCTGTTCTTCATCGGCAGATTTTTTCACCTATGTTGTTAATTTTGTTCAAAAATTGGGACTCAACTTCAAGTTCTTGAGAAAAAATTTTAATAACCCCATCCTATTTTTGTCTCATCTTGATTATCTACCCTTAGAAGGGGGCTTGGTCCTTCATTTTAACAATTTGAACTCCCCTTTACCCAAGAATGCTTTGTACAAAGTTTGGTTAAATTGGCCCAGTGGTTCTTGAAAAGAAGTAGAAAATGTGAAAAGTTTATAGACGGAGGGACAGTCGATGGACAACGGGTGATCAGGAAGGCTCACTTGAACTATCAGCTCAGGTGAGCTAAAAAGAGATAGGATCATTTTATCCATTAAATGGTCCTGTCAATTATTTAAATTAACATACCAAGTCCCAATGTCCAATTTCAAACATCAATATAAAACAGAGACTTCGTGCTTCCACTTACTATAACAAAAAATTCTGAGAGTACAGGTATTGAATAAAGTGCCCCATCACAGCAAGGTACGAGTGTCAAATATTGTTAAATTATCAAAAACAGTTTAAAGTGCAAGAAAATTATGTTAACCTTGATTATAGGAAGGTTTCAGTGATTTTTCCATTCCTTACAATGACATCTCATGTGGTGAAGGTAATAATTATTACAAAAAGTACTTTTATTTCTAAACTGGTTGTGTTAGAGCTTAACAAATGCTCATCTGCAGCTTCGTTTATTGTATATTTTATGATTGATTAACAATGCTAGAGCCCAATAAAATATCAAAACAAATTTTGTTCATTCTTTATACTATAAAATTGTCATCTTAGTAAGACAGGACACTGTGCAATTTGTTCTAGAGATATAAAAATTAAAATAAAAAAATTATACAAAATAAAATTAGTCTTAATTATATTATACAATACAAATTAGCTTTAATTATATTAGTCAATAACACAAATTAGTTTTAATTACTTTATAACAAATTTATCTTTCAAGTTAGACTAGCCATCAAGAACTATTTAATCCAACACAAGCATTTAGGAGGCTGATTCCTTTGGCCATGCAATTCCCAAAATCAGAGATGTTCTGCTAGTAAACTGATCATTAATTTCTCTCTAATTTGACAAGCAATTTCCTGTTATCAAAATTCTCCTTGACCAGTGCTTGATAAATACACCCATGGGACAGGTGGAATTTCTCTTAAAACATTACATTTGTTACAGATTGCTGTAAAGTATAATGAAAAAAATAAGTATTTTCTTGATTTATTATTTTTTAATAAGGATACTTTTTTGGGGATTGTGTAATTCAAAAGTTAATAAAGTGCCGTGACACAGCATGATACGCCCATCAAATATTGTTCAATTGTCATAAACAGTTTAGAGTGCAAGAAAATCATGTCATCCTTGATACAAGGATTTCAATGATTTTTCCATTCCTTATAATATTTGTTTATACATCTCCTGTGGTGTAGGCATTAACTATAACAAATATTACATTATAGATCTTCAACTGGTTGTGTTAGAGCTTGACAAATGGCCATCTGCTCCCCCCCCCCCCCCCCCCCCCCAGCTTTCAGATTTGTGAGACATGATTCTCTGAATTAGTTGATATTTTCAAAATATTAAATAAAAATATCATATTAAACAATATCAATTTAGTCTTAACAACTTAATCTATATCAAATTAATATTAGAAATAAAAGGCTGGCCATCAAATGACATATGCTATAAACTGACAAGCAGTTCTTCTGTCTAATTCCCAAAGGATACAGATAAGAGCTGTTTGATCAGAGATCCTCTAACAGAAATGATTGAGACAGCTAGCCTTCCTACACTAAACTCATTAATTAATCTTTAACTGGATGCATGTCCACTCATTACTCCCAACATATGAATGGTTCTATACATACTATCTGCTTTGTAGTGCAATAAAAATGCATATTTATGTCATTCTGAAATTAAATTTGAAAACAAAGATTTTTTTTTTTAATTTGTTACAAAGATTTTATAAAAGAAAAAAAAAACTTGTGCAATCTTGATGCAACATTTTAATAAGGTTCCTGCATTAATCTTAGATTCGTAGGGACTATCTACCATAATTAAAACATTTTTTTTAATATATAATACAATATCAAATTAGTTTATTATACAATATCAAATTAATTTATTTCACAATATCAAATAAGTTTTAATTACTTTTTCACCAAATTCATTTTAAAAGTTAGGCTAGCCCACTATTTAATCCAACAAAACTGATTCTTTTTGCCCAGTTCCCAAGAAATATAGATAACACCTGCTTGATCAGAGATGCTCTATCAGTTAGCTCCTCACACTAAACTCATTAATTTCTCTCTAATTTGACATGCAATTTTCTGTTATCAAATTCTCCTTGACCAGTGCTTGATAATTACACCAATGGGAGAGGTGGAATTTCTCTTGTAACATTACCTTTGTTATAGGTTGCTGTAAAGTATATAATGACAAAAATAAGTATTTTTTTGATTTAACATTTTTTAATAAGGATACTGCAACACTCCTGCATTTTTGGGATTGTGTAATCTAATAGTAATTTTAAATTTCACCTAAATTAAAGGTCACAGTGACCTTGAAATAGGTCGCGACACACCTTCTACCTAAGATGCATAAATTGGCCAAGTTTGATGATTCTAAGTCCAATAGTTTTCTAGTTATGAGCGGGACAGGATTTTTCCATATTTGGCCATAGCATCTTCATTAAAGGTCAGAGCGACCTACTTTTAGTGTGCGACACACCTTCTACCCAAGAAGTATCAGCTGACAAAGTTTGATAATCCTAATTTGATCCCCCATTGTGGCTCCTCCCTATTCCAGGGGTTATCATTTGAACAAACTTGAATCTACACTACCTGAGGATGCTTCCATATCAATATGACTAAACATAGCTTTTCTGTTCTTGAGAAATTTTTTTTATATGTTCTTATGTAAAACTTATGTAAATCTTATGTAAAAAAAGCCTCCATTGTGGCCCCACCCTATACCTGGGGGTAATCATTTGAACAAAATTGAATCTTCATTACCTGAGGATGCTTCCATATCAAAATGACTAAACATGATTTTCTGTTCTTGAGAAGATATTTTCCTATATGTTCCTATGTAAAATTTTAGATCCCCCATTGTGGCCTATCCCTAACCCCAGAGGTCATGATTTTAACAAACTTGAATCTACACTACCTGAGGATGCTTTCATATCAAAATGACTAATCATGGCTTTGCAGTTCTTATTCAGAAGATATTTTCCAAGATATTTAAGACTTTGATCCTCCATCGTGGCCCCACCCTACACCCAGGGGTCATGATTGGAACAAACTTGAATCTTCAATGTCCGAGGATGCTTCCATATAAATATGACCCATCAGGGTTTTGCTGTTCTTGAGAAGAAGATTTTTGAAGATTTTTCCTTTATATTTCTATGTAAAACTTTGATCCTCCATTGTGACCCCAACCTACCCCAAGGGGTCGTGATTTGAACAAACTTAAATCTACACTACCTGATGATGCTTCCACATAAATATGACTCATCATGGCTTTGCTGTTCTTGAGAAGAAGGTTTTTAAAGATTTTTCCTATATATTTCTATGTAAAACTTTGATCCTCCATTGTGGCCCCACCCTACCCCCGGGGTCGTGATTTGAACAAACTTGAATCTTCACTGCCTGAGGATGCTTCCATATAAATATGACTCATCATGGCTTTGCTGTTCTTGAGAAGAAGATTTTTAAAGATTTTTCCTATATATTTCTATGTAAAACTTTGATCCTCCATTGTGGCCCCACCCTACCCCCAGGGGTCATGATTTGATCAAACTTGAATTTACACTACCTGAGGATGCTTTGATCCTCCATTGTGGCCCCACCCTACCCCCGGGGGTCATGATTTGAACAAACTTGAATCTACACTACCTGAGGATGCTTCCTTATAAATATGACTTATCATGGCTTTGCTGTTCTTGAGAAGAAGATTTTTAAAGATTTTTCCTATATATTTCTATGTAAAACTTTGATCCTCCATCGTGGCCCCGCCCTACCCCCAGAGGTCATGATTTGAACAAACTTGAATCTACACTACCTGAGGATGTTTCCACATGAGTTTTATCTTTCCTGGCCCAGTGGTTCTTGAGAAGATTGATTGATTGATTGTATGTTGTTTTAAGTCCCATTCGAGAATTTTCCACTCATATAGAGACGTCACCATATACCGGTGAAGGGCTTCAAATTTTGACCTTTACTCGGCACTCAGGGCCATTGAGCAGTGAGGGATCTTTATCGTGCCAACGCCTGCCGTGACACGGGGCCTCGGTTTTTAAGGTCTCTTCCGAAGGACCCGCAACTTTCACTTCAAAGTGTCGAGCGCATGGCGAAGGAACAGTTGCTACCCATTTTTTATCGACTTAGGTCAGTCATGGCCGAGATATGAACTCACGACCTCCCGATCACGAAGCGAGCGCTCTACCGACTGAAATACCGTGAACAGTTTCTTGAGAAGATTTTTAAAAGATGGTATTCATTTTTCACTAATTCTTAATTATCTCCCCTTGAAAGAGGGCGTGGCCCTTCATTTGAACCCCCTTCACCCAAGGATGCTTTGTGGCAAGTTTGGTTGAAATTGGCCCAGTGGTTCTGGAGAAGAAGTCAAAAATGTGAAAAGTTTACAGACAGACAGATGGATGGACAGACGGACTACAGACAAATTGTGATCAGAAAAGCTCACTTGAGCTTTCAGCTCAGGTGAGCTAACAAGGTGAAGGAATTGTTATCCTTTTCAAGAGTTGTCTAAACAATTATATTACACCTTTAGAAGTTTTATACGACACTATTATATGGATAAGCCTAAGTGGGTCTCTTTTTGTAGATGGTAAAGACATTTATTTAGGAGCAGTTTATATCCCTCCATATGAATCCAAATTCCATGAAATTTACAAATGTGATCTTTTCACTATGTTAAATAATTGTATTGTGAAATACTATGATTTGGGTAACGTGATTATCTCGGGTGATCCAATACGAGAACGGGATAATTATTGGACTACATTGAAAGTGATTCTTTTAGAAATGAAATAAATACAATCTATTCAGATGTGATTACTTATACTCTGGATTCGGAACTAGATCCTAGAAATTCAATGGATATGAAAGTTAATACGTCTGGAAGACGATTGATTGAGATTTGTAGAGCTTCATATATTTGCATTATAAATGGTCCATATCAATCAGATTCTGCGGGAAGATTTACATACGTTGGACCACTGGGACGATCTCCCGTTGACCTAGTTTTAACTAGTTTGCTCAGCCTTTTATCAGACTTTATTGTATGTGACCTGAATGAATTCTCAGATCACACACCTATACAGCAAAACTTGCTAAGTACAATTATGAATATAGCTAATTTATGGAAATTCTTAACAATTCCTTGTAAAATTTTATGGATATAACGAACTTGGATATAGCAAATTTACAGCTAAAGCAAACTGATTTTGTGTCCACTACAAGATAAATATAATAAAATTTACATCTTTCATAGCGTATTTTTAAAGATCTTAATTTTTAAAATATTAAACTGATTATTATTTTGTTAAGTATTGATATTAGAAACTCAATTCATTCTAAAACTTTTGAACTCCATGATAAATTTTATTTTTTTAACTTTCCCTAAATAGATTTTGGTAGTCATGCTTGAAGGAAAAAATTGATATAATGAATTCGCAATGCATACTTTAAGGAATTCTTTATATGGATATAACGAATTACGGATATAGCGAAGCAAATTTGCAGGTCCCCAGAACAGGATGTTGACATTGGATTCATACAAAAATTAATCCCACCATATGGCATGCCTTAACAAAGTGTGTGCTAAAATTTCAAGCATCTGCAATCAGTAGTTGCTGAGGTTACGGACAGACAGACAGACACACACACAGACAGACACACAAGGGTAAAACAGTATACCCCCCCCTCTCCTTCGGAGCAGGGGTATAAAAATCAATATTATAGATCTTTTTCTCTAAAATACATGAAAAATTAGGGAAGGCTCCAGAGAGTATAGAAGGAACATTTATTAAAGCATTAATTAAATTACAACAAAAAATCTAATAAAAATCAAAATTGTTGATGTAAAAAAATTATTTTCAAAGTCCTTAGTATCAAAGTTTCTCTTTAGAGTGATCTTTTCTGTTACATGGGTGTCCTGAAGTGACAGAACACTCATAAATATCAATTCAAAACTATTTATTAATAAATGCTGTGCAAAAATACTTACCAAGTCCCGTTTGTCCATAATTTATAAGGGATGCACAATCTAATGGCTTTAGACATGGGCATTTGACTGGGCGTCCTTTGTAGTCATTGCTTATAAGATATCTGTTACCATATACAAGGCGAGACAGAAGATGATTTGTTAATAGAACTGCCACAACAACCTCTGTCTGTTTGTCAAATGCATCTCCATATGGATTTCTTTGCTTTAAACACATCTCATGGTGATCTAAAACAGAATTAAATATATGTAGTCATTTTATCAATTGTACAAAAATGATAAAGCAAAACATAAACTTGACTAATAAACATAGTCTCAGATACATAAGACATTTTATTAAACTTAAATATTAGTCTAGGCATCTGAATTGACAGTAAATTTTAAGCTCTAAATGTTTGTTCCAAATTGTTATTCTATCTTCTTTGGGAAGAAACACCATTTATTTGTTCATTTGTTGTTCAACATCCCTCTCGAGAATTTTTCACTCATATGGAGACGCCACCACTTGCTGGTGGAGAGCTGCAAATTTTGTCCTATGCTCAGCACTCAGGGTCATTGAGCAGTGAGTGATCTTGTTCGTTTCAGCACCTACTGTGACACGGGACCTCGGTTTATACGGTCTCATCTGAAGGACCACTCTCCACGTCCCACTGTGGGATTTGAACCCATGACATAAGGATCAACTCCTTACTACATGACTTTAGAGCAGACACTCTTACCACTGCACCTTGCGGGCGACAAAAAACACTATTTTAAATAAAACCTAAAATAAATCTTGTTATTCACAGTTTAATCTCTGTTTTCCTGTCTTCATCTAAGGGTAGAACACTCTGATGTATAAAACAACTATGGAACTAGATATCATTTAGATGATCTCAAAGGGCCCTGCTTTCAGCAATGAACTTGAAAATGTAAGGTAGAAGGGTTTATTTTGAAGAGGAACATTTGTGTACTATTAGGGGATGTGTTGTTTGAGTCTAAAGGGTTTCTATGTCATCCTTGCTATAATAAAAAATGGCACGAAAATCACAAGTGCTCCATACCCTCTATCAAAAAACGGCTCATAAATCACGAATGTTGCATATTGTTTATGAAAATTGTTGCATATCCTCTATCAAAATATGGAAGGAAAATCACAAATGTTCCGTACCCTAAGTCAATTAGTAAAGTTTGAGGCTGACTGGACTTAAGAGAAAGAAATTATGCACCAAACAAAGATTTTAAACATAGAGGCTATTTTTGACCTTGACCCTTGACCAAGAAACTTCGTTCAAGGTCAATGCACATCCACTGACCAGTGGCACTCTGTGAGTGAAGTATGAGCCACATTGGACCAAGGGGAGAGAAAATATGCTCCAGACAAGGATTTTTCATATAATTCTGCTATGACCTTAACCTTAGAACTAGAAACATGTTTCAAGGTCACTGCACACCCTTTACCCAAAGACATTCTGTGGGTGAAGTGTGATTCAGATTGGGCCAAGGAGAGAGAAAATATGCTCCGGACAAGAATTTAAACAGAGAGGCTATTTTTGACCTTGAACTAGAAACTTTGTTCAAGGTCACTGCACATCCATTGACCAGTGGCACTCTGTGAGTGAAGTATGAACCAAATTGGACTAAGAGGAGAGAATGTATGCTCCTGACAAGGATTTTTCATATAATTCTGCTATGACCTTGACCTTAGACCTAGAAACATGGTTCAAGGTCACTGCACACCCTTTACCCAAAGACACTCTGTGGGTGAAGTATGAGCCAGATTGGGCCAAGGAGAGAGAAGATATGCTCCGGACAAGAGATCTCGGACAGACAGACGGATGGACGAATGGACAGACAAACGGACGGACAGATTGATCACTATAGGGCGCCCACAGAGCGGGGCCCTAATTAGAACTCTGAACTTGGTGGCAAGTTTCATTATTTATTCAACATTTTGTTTGTCCCTTTTCTATGAGTGATCAGAAATTTATACCTGTATAAGTATCCAATCACTATATCTTTTATTATGATTTGATCATGTTGATGAATACTTCTGATATTCATACAAGAGGCCAAACGGCCTTAACCATCATCTAAGTAAAATGCAACAATAAGTTCTAATCTGTACCCCATTTATCACTATCAATGCAGACTATTAACAAACTATCAGTGCTTCTGTATTATTTTTAAAACCATAATAAAACCTCTCATAATGGCCTCTCTTGGTCTTTGAATAACAATTGATAAGATAATTTATTTTTCTTTGATTTTTATTAGACGTAGGCTCTTAGAGCCAAACATTGCGTACTTTGTTAGCTCAATTTTGCAAATCGGGGAATTTGTGATCGCCATCTAGCGCCTAGCAGCAAATCTCCCTTGCAGAGTTGTCATTCGTTCCTCTTTCAGACACCTCTGCAATGGGCTCACGTTAAGAATATTGACATAACAAGATGTGTTTGTGAAACACTGATGCCCCCCTATGGCAGCTTATGGCGAAGGTTAAAGTTTCTCAAATGCAAGTCAAAATCCAGGCCAAAAGATAAAAAATGTTGGTACCCAAAGAAAGGTCTTGTCTCAAGGTATATAACTGTGAAAATTGAAAGCCCTAGCTGCAACTGTTCAAAAGTTATGGCGAAGGTTAAAGTTTTCTAAAAGTAAGTAAAACGTCAAGGTCAAGGTCAAAGTTGTTGGTATCCAAAGGAAGGTCTTGTCACAAGGATTACATATGTGAAGTATGAAAGCCCTAGCACCAACCATCAAAAGTTATGGCCAAGGTTAAAGTTTTTCAAAAGTAGGTCAAACTCCTATGTCAAGGTCAAAGTGGTTGGTATCCAAAGGAAGATGATGACACAAGGATTACATATGTGAAGTATGAAAGCCCTAGTATCAACCATCAAAAGTTATGGCCAAGGTTAAAGTTTTTCAAAAGTAGGTCAAACTCCTAGGTCAAGGTCCAAAACGTCAAAGTGGTTGGTATCCGAAAGAAGATCTTGTCACAAGGATTACATATGTGAAGTATGAAAGCCCTAGCTCCAATCATTCAAAAGTTATGGACAAGGTTAAAGTTTTTCAAAAGTAGGTCAAACTCCTAGGTCAAGGTCAAAAGGTCAAAGTTGTTGGTATCCAAAGGAAGGCCTTGTCACAAAGAATACACATGTGTAGTTTGAAACCCCAAGCACCAACTGTTCAGAAGTTATGGCCAAGGTTAAAGTCTCATAAAATTTTGCAAAAGTGGGTCAAACTCCAAGGTCAAAAAGGTCAAATATGATGGTACCCAAGCAAAGGTCTTGTCACAAGGAATACACATGTGAAATATGAAAGTCAGCTTTGCTGTTCTTGAGAAGATTTTTAAAGATTTTTCCTATATATTTCTATGTAAAACTTTGATCCTCCATTGTGGACCCACCCTACCCCCGGGGGTCATGATTTGAAGAAACTTGAATCTACACTACCTGAGGATGCTCCCATATAAATATGACCAATCTGGGCTTTGCTCTTCTTGAGAAAAAGATTTTTAAAGATTTTTCCTACATATTTCTATGTAAAACTTTGGTCCTCCATTGTGGCCCCGCCCTACCCCCGGGGATCATGATTTTAACATATTTGAATCTACACTACCTGAGGATGCTTCCATATAAATATGACTCATCATGGCTTTGCTGTTCCTGAGAAGAAGATTTTTAAAGATTTTTCCTATATATTTCTATGTAAAACTTTGGTCCTCCATTGTGGCCCCGCCCTACCCCCGGGGGTCATTATTTTAACAAATTTGAATCTACACCACCTGAGGATGCTTCCATATAAATATGACTCATCATGGCTTTGCTGATCTTGAGAAGAAGATTTTTAAAGATTTTTCCTATATATTTCTATGTAAAACTTTGATCCTCCATTGCGGCCCCGCCCTAACCCCGGGGATCATGATTTTAACAAATTTGAATCTACACTACCTGAGGATGCTTCCATATAAATATGACTCATCATGGCTTTGCTGTTCTTGAGAAGAAGATTTTTAAAGATTTTTCCTATATATTTCTATGTAAAACTTTGATCCTCCATTGTGGACCCACCCTACCCCCGGGGGTCATGATTTGAAGAAACTTGAATCTACACTACCTGAGGATGCTCCCATATAAATATGACCAATCTGGGCTTTGCTCTTCTTGAGAAAAAGATTTTTAAAGATTTTTCCTACATATTTCTATGTAAAACTTTGGTCCTCCATTGTGGCCCCGCCCTACCCCCGGGGATCATGATTTTAACATATTTGAATCTACACTACCTGAGGATGCTTCCATATAAATATGACTCATCATGGCTTTCCTGTTCCTTAGAAGAAGATTTTTAAAGATTTTTCCTATATATTTCTATGTAAAACTTTCGTCCTCCATTGTGGCCCTGCCCTACCCCTGGGGATCATGATTTTAACAAATTTGAATCTACACTACCTGAAGATACTCCCATATAAATATGACTCATCATGACTTTGCTGTTCTACAGAAGAAGATTTTTAAAGATTTTTCCTATATATTTCTATGTAAAACTTTGATCCTCCATCGTGGCCCCGCCCTACCCCCGGGGATCATGATTTTAACAAATTTGAATCTACACTACCTGAAGATACTCCCATATAAATATGACTCATCATGACTTTGCTGTTCTTGAGAAGAAGATTTTTAAAGATTTTTCCTATATATTTCTATGTAAAATTTTGATCCCCTATTGTGGCCCCACCCTACCCCCGGGGGTCATGATTTGAACAAATTTGAATCTACATTACCTGAGGATGCTTCCACATGAGTTTCATCTTTCCTGGCCCTATGGTTCTTGAGAAGAAGATTTTTAAATGATGCCATTATTTTTTCATTAATTCCTAATTATCTCCCCTTGAAAGAGGGTGTGGCCCTTCATTTGAACAAACTACTTTGTGGCAAGTTTGGTTGAAATTGGCCCAGTGGTTCTTGAGAAGAAGTCAAAATTTGAAAAGTTTACAGACAGACAGACAGACGGACGCCGGACAAAATGTGATCAGAAAAGCTCACTTGAGCTTTCAGCTCATGTGAGCTAATAAAGCCAAAAATGATAAAAGTGCTATGTTTTATTAAATTAGAGTGAACATGTATTTAGGTCTACCTGTAGTCACAATCTTCAAATTCAGATTCCTCACAATTTGCTATTTCACCAGATGAAATTGATGGGATCTTCAGTACTTGAAGTACTCTGTTCGTTTGTAAGTGCACACTTTCAATTTCTTTCAACTTGAATTATATTAAGCATGTCTAATTTTAATGAAATAGACTAGTTCTATACCACTTTCACAATTATAAATTAACTAATATGACAGTTGTTAGAAATTATGTCAAAATCAATTTGGGTTTGATACCTAATCATAAGATACATTTTTTTTACAAGATTTTAGAGCAAGTTATTTCTAGCCTACACATGTTTCCTGTCATCTGTCAAAATATGTACTGCTGTTTCATCAAGTCTCTGTTGAATTTCATGAATGAAAGTTTACTTCAATCAACTTTATATTAAATATATTTACTTCATGGAGTAACCTTCAGATTTAGGTCTTTTTGTTAAAAACAAAACTTAAAAATTGGTGCTTGTTTACATTTGGAACTCTTCTGATTTTTTATTGCCAAGCTCAGCATTCGGATTACCTCGGATAATAGCCATTTCAGGCATTTGTAAAGCAATTACGTTCTATACTAACTTTCTGTTTACATTAGAGCTACAGCACCCTCATATGACCCAGAATAGTGCCAGGACTTTATTAAATAAACAACCATAATTTTAATTAGAACACAACTCAAAACAGTGTTGTTGTGTGCATCACTCTGGAGATTTCCAGTGAGCGATCTCTGTTAATCAAAAGGCAACATTTTGGCTGGTGCCAGTGCTTATTGAAAATGCTGGATCATTTTAAAAGAAATACATGTATGTAATGCATTTTCACTTTATGATCTATGTAGCCCACCCTAACACCGGAACCCCTGACCCAGGGGCCATGAAATTCATTAGTTTGATAGAAGGCTTAATGCTTATTACAATCAAGTTTGACTGCTTGATGTCCAGGAGTAAAAGAAGATTTTTAAAGACTGTATTAATTTTGGTGGTTTTAGTCCCATCCCTCAGGCCCCAGGGGGGCAAGGACCATGAAATTCACAATTTTTGTTCCCCTTCATCCATAGTGCTATATGCCAAAATTGATTGAAATTAGTTTAGCGGTTCCAGAGAAGAAGATGAAAATGTTCAAATTAACACAATACATGCCAGATGATGCACGACAAAATTGGATAGCAATACTGGTCACCTGAGCAACTCAGGTAGGGATGTGGGATTTATCAGTATACTGGTGTATTGTGATTTTTAATTGCTTGATACATATCATGATATGGAGACTAAAATATCGGTACTTAGGTACAAAATTATACATTCCAGAAATTATTCATTTATTTGTCATAATGATCAAACTTTCAAATTACAGTTACAGGATACATGATTCAGATTGTATAAAAAATGTTGAAAACAGCTGCAAAAGAATTAATGGCAGCTTATAGCATGCATGCTCTAATTTATGTAAAAAAAAATGAAGTAATGTTTTTCCAGAATATATTTAAGAAAAAATATGAATATTTATTTAAAAACATTGTAAAAATTGCTTGTAAAAATATCATGATATATTGGGAAAAAATTGTGATATATCGCGATACAACATAGGCTAAACATTCATGAATATGCATGAAACTTTCAAACCAAACAGATCTAAGATCTTTCTACAAAATGGAAGTTGAAAGTTAACTAGTCCTATAATTACGAAAGATACAACACTCCAAAGTTATTGCAACCCCCAACTCTGTCACTACCCTAACGCCGTCACTTTCAGGAAACTCTGCACCGTTTGTAAATGAATGTGATTGTTGTGACGGTACATATTGTCGTTTTGTACATATTGTCGTTGACGACAATATGTACCTACCCTCAAGGTACATATTGTCGTCCATCGGTACATAATGTCACCGGCTGAAAAGTTATACATGTACATATTGTCGCCGGCGACATTATGTGCCTCACCCTCACTGTACATATTGACGCCCCACAAATATTGTTGCTTAAAGATTTCTTTTGTTGTTTTTTGGTAGTTTTGTGAATATAATTGGTGTGTAAATCACACTGACGTGTCCTGTATGCTATTTCATGCAACGTGATTGTGACGGTACATTTTGTCGTCCTGTTCATATTGTCGCTGGCGACAATGTATTCCTACCCTCACTGCGCATATTGTCATCCATCAGAACATGTCGAATGACATGCACGGCAATGCTCCATATAAATCTGACTAATCTTTGCTTTGCTGTATTTGAGAAGATAATTTTTAAAGAATATTTCCATGTATTCCTATGTAAAACTTTGATCATCCATTATGGCCCCACCAAAACCCGGGGGTCATGATTTGAAGATACTGTAGGTCACTATATTTTCGCGACACCTTATTTTCGTGAGATAGCTATTTTGTATTTATTAGCGAGACAAAATTTTCGCAAGCTACGCTATTTGTTTTGTATAATCCTTAACAATAAAAATATACGTGAGAATAAAATTTTCACGAACAGACTCGCGTAATTATACTCGAAAATAAAGTTCTCACGAATAAAAAGTTGTTAACAGTACTTGAATTTACACTACCTAAGGATACTTCTAAACATCACTAATCACGGGCCTACTGCTGTTCCTCAGTGGTGGATCTAAAAATTTCAGAATGGAGGGGGTGCGCGGTTGAGATTTTTTTTTTTGGCAAGCAAAAAAAGGCATTTGTATGTAAAGTATGTACAGCATATGTTCAGTAAATAATTCAATTATGAAATTTTACCTGTGGACTAAACTGAGAGTATATGCAGGTTAAACAGAATTTACCAAAGCAAAAAAATTCAAACCACCGGGCAGGGGGTGGGGTTGTGGAGGGGTGCGCAGGTGCTACATCTGTCTGGTTTTTGGGAAGATTTTTAAAAGATTTTCTGTATATATTCCTATGTAAAGTTTTGATCAGCCATTATGGCCCCACCCCACCCCTGGGGTCATGATTTGAACAAAATTGATTTTGTTTGTTTGTTTGTTTGTTGTTATAAAGTCCATCTCGAGAATTTTTCCATTCGAATGGAGACGTCACCACTTGCCGATGGAGGGCTGCAAATTTAGACCTATACTTGGCACTCAGGGTCATTGAGCAGTGAAGGGTCTTTTTCGTACCAGCATCTGAAAATTAACGTACACTATGTAATGAAGCTTTCACATAAGCATCATCTCTTTTGACCAAGTGGTTCTTGAAAAATGATTATGAAAGTTTTTTTTTTCTAAATATTCTGTGAAAAAAATTGATCACCTTTTGTAGCCACAGCCTTCCCCCGAGGGACATGATCTGAATAAAACTGAAACTACACTTCATAATGTAGCTTTCACATAAGTTTCAATTTTTTTGACACAGTGGTTCATGAGAAGATTTTTCAAAGATTTCACTAAATTTTCACTAATTCTTAATTACTTCCCTTGAAAGAGGACATGACCCTTCATTCGAACAAACTTAAACCCCCTTTAGCCAGTGATGCTTTATAGCAAGTTTGGTTGAAATTGACCAAGTAGTTCTTGAGAAGAAGCTGAAATTGTGAAAAATTTACAGACAGAGGGACGGTCAGACAAAATGTGATCAGAAAAGCTCTCTTGAACTTCCAGTTCAGGTGATCTAAAAATGTCAACCCCACACCAATTATATCGGCACATAATTGTATGTAAGAATAAAAGATAATTTCCAAATAATCATTAGTACTGAACAAAAACTGATACATGTATTCAATCTCCAAAAAAAAAGAGAATTGTGATATCTTGACACATCATAGTGATGTACATCAATCCTGAGCACTATTTTCTGACCAAATAGTTATCTCCCTACAGTATTGCGAGTAATGCTGTCTGTCCCTCCGTGCGTGCGTGTGTGTTTGTCAATCTCTCTTTCCTTTCTGAAGTAAAAATTCGTCAAAACAATATATCGACGACAATATATGCCGATCTTGACTGTACGTATTGTCGCCGACGACAATATGTTCTGGTGCTTGACTGTACATTTTGTCGTCCATCAGCAGGAGAAAAATAAGGCTCGTCTCAGTACATATTGTCCTCGGCGACAATATGTACCGATGGACGACAATATGTGCAGTGAGGGTGGGTACATATTGTCGCCGAGGACAATATGTACAAAACGACAATATGTACCGTCACAATTGTGATGTCATTTTTTACAAGCTGAAAATTACAATCAAATGCCGAGAAATTTTTACAGTCAAGTTCAAGAATGTGTAAAAAATAAATAACAATTACACATAATCTATTGTATCTATCATATTTTATGTGAAATTAGTAAGTACTTTTTCCTTTGTGCAATATTCCATTGATACCCAGGGGTGTGCAATTACCATCGCCCGACGCCCGGGGCTACCAATTCTAGAGATCGGGCTATCATAAATCTATACTGCGTTAGCCCGTCGGGCTAGTAAATCTAAAATGCAGTTTAATACTAATTTAAATCTTCAAAACTAATTTTCTAAGTTTACAAGTTTAAGATAAAGGGAGAAAAAACTAATGTGGAAAAAAATTTCTAATTAATATGTTGACATATTGAAGTCTCAGAGGACCCTGGTGACGGAGTTTGGGTAGTAGGGGATAAAGATCCTGAAACAAAAAAAAAGCATGTATCTTTCGTGCAGTATCCTTTTCGTTCAAACCATGTAACGTTTCGTGTAAACCATGCAGCTTTTCATCACTTTCGTGTAGGCTTTAAGGCATTTTGTGCAAACTGTGTAGCGAGCGTGCGAGAAGCATGTAGCCATGCTTACTTGATCATTTCAATACTTTTCTATCTACATTTATCTTGTTTATGTCTCCATTACAAATGAAATCCTTTAAAAAATTTCAATGGACCTGTATTCAAGTACAATCTCAAAGAATTAAATAGTTACTAACCTAATTCTATGAGGAAATTTCTCAACGCAGAAAGGGCATAGAAATAACCATTTTCATTCCCTGTGGGCGAGTCGAAGAATCCAACACCAACATTGCCCACAGATTGACGCAATGCACTAAATCCTTGTGAATAAATATTAGAAAAATTCTCGCACAGAACTAAGTCATTGTTGTCTTTGACGGTTATCAATTCATACTCAAGATGTGCTCTTGAAAAACTGCCACCTATACTGCAACTTTTTATCTTCAATGGCGCAAGCTGCAAGTCCTTGTAGTCCGCTAAGGCTGAATTAATTAAAGAAGTCAGTGATGCCGGAGGCTTTGACGACCAAAATCTCTTGGTTAAGATCCGTTGCCTCAAAACAGATGTGATCTTCAAGCGTAAACACTTTCGTAAAGCATCCATGATCATTTAGAATAGAATATATATGGCTTTACATGTACATGTATATATATACACTTGGCTTCCAGGTAGAAGTATACAAGGGACTCTGGTTCTAAATGCACGCTCATCATAACGGTCATTGCTCGACAGCATCATTTTATGCGAAATTAGATGATTTTGTCATGGACTACATTTTCATGCGTTTGTATAAACAGAAGCAACATTACCGTGACTCTGGCTGACCTCGTGTTGATAGACAGGGTCTTGCTACATAAACAAGGGCACTTTTCGAGCGGTACCGTATATATCCGTCTCTATGCTGTTTCGGTCTATCTTTTGTTTATCACAGTGTTTACCTATGACCAAAGAATTTGATTCCCCCCTTATTTTATTTAATAATTTTATTAGTTGTTATTATGCTTATTACTTTATAGGGTTTCCTTTTATTGTTTATTTACTGTGTTTTTTTCTCATGTGTGCTTTTTTTATCGTTTGAAAAGGATGAACATAACGAAAGTGATCGATCCCTAAAAAATCTAATATCTCACAATTTTTTCACATTTTCAAAAGAAAACCTAGCCTATAGCAGAGAGAATAGGAGAACAATTTCCCGGAAAAAGTCACATTTAAAAATTAGAGCACCCCTGTCCTACAATCGAAATTCAAAAAAAAAAAAAAAAAAAAAACCCTACCAAAAAATGAGGCTACCTTCTTTTTTTTTTTTTTTTTTTTTTTTTTTTTTTTTTTTAATAATAGCTGAGTATATTTTACTCTTTTATTACTTTTATTATACTAGTAGTTTTAAATTCAGACAATTTATTTTTTTTTCATAGGTTCTTTTTAACTTTCCTTACATTATCTATCTTTTATGCAGGTTTATTACCGTCTTCCTTGGAAGACGGTATACAGAGTTGAAGTATTTTACGGTCTTCGGACTACGCACTTCCTCTCTTTTGTGATTGATAGAAATTGCATGATGAAAAATTTTTCAATTATTTCATCTGTTGAAGTGCTGTTCAAGGCAAGGGAGATAATTTTCTGATGATCTAATTTTCGTACGAATTAACAATTTTTCAAGATTTTCAATCGTAAAACAAATACAAGTATTAGCTTTCCTAAAAAGCTTGTCTGACTTGAGCAAATTTATTTTTACACGAAGAATCAAGAAAAGTTAAATCCAGTGTAATCAACGTGACTCTGAGTAATGAAACGAATTCTTTTGCTAAGAAACAATAAAAGTTTAAATCAGTGGCAACAGCATAAATTTAAACTTGGACATGAATTTATTCCATATACACTATATTTATACTTGTAATTTCCTTTTTTATGGACGTAGGGTCCGGCCGGGGGAGGGGGAGTCCCCCCCCTATTTATGCCGATTTATACATAGCTATATTTTATGATTGGTCTCCTAAATCATGTAATTTATATTTAACTTCTGATAACTTGATAGTGTCCATCTTAAACTGAAAATTTCTGAAATTTCTTCCAAAGGGGCTTGTTCATGGATAAAAAGATATAACCAGTGCTTTTGAAAGAAAAACTACAACACATAAAAATCTAAACATCAACTGGTGAACAATTTTGATAATTAAGAAATGTTTTATTTAAAAAAAAAAAAATAAACGTGTTACAAATGAGCTAACATTTTTGCATTTAGCAAAAGAATATTCAACATATATCAATCACTTTGATATTTTTTTTTACTATGAATAAATGAAACGTCTGCAAGTTATGAATATGTGTAGATTTATAAAAATTCTAAAGATAGAGAGACTCAGTATGCATTGAAAATAAACATCCATTAGTTAATCGACAAGTATTGACCTGACCAGCTTCATTCATTTCTGTTTTGCTGGACATGAATGATGCATTCGAGAATGGCCAAATGTTATGCAACCTGTAATGTATAATGTGATAATGACAGATCAGCTACAATACTCTGGCTTGTTTGGGTGTTTAGCATGTTTCCTTTACTCTTCATGCTCTCCAGTTGATAGTTAAGATAGTATGAAGTTTCCAAGATCAAGTTATCACAAGAATTCTTTTGAACGACTTGACTAACAAGCCTTGGCTAAATCTAGTACTGTCTGACGCCATGACGTCAGACAATGACAAAACGAACAGTGGAAATTAATTATTCTAATATCTTATATACGATGGACATGTCGTAGCAGTAATTAATTCGAAATAACATGCATATTTTTTTTAAGCAATTACCAAAAAAATTCTTTATTTTCATTGTTAATACAATTAATCTTTATTTCATGCAAGCTTTACAGCGTGTATGTATCTTTTCCCCTTTGTTTTGCAATGTCTTTCTAATCTCGGCAGCACTCGGCAACAGCTTGGCCGATTCGTACCTCATCTACATATCACAAAGGGGATGGAAACAGCCGAGGTTTGCCGAATGATCTCGGAAGTAGAGTCGAAGTTTACGGAGACAGCCGAGCATCTGTTAACTTTTCACTTGGTAGGGTTTATGTCAGAAAAAAAACTTATGAAGAAATACAAAGTCAAGTAAATTTCAAGAATTATACGGCTTGATAGCTTTAAGTCAGTTTACTAAGACACAAAAGAACAATAGAAATATGTCCATAGGACATGAATGCCCCGCCGAGGGTATATTAGTAATGCAACATGAAAATTTGTATTAGCGCAGAGACATATACTAGAGGGATTTATTGAGTATGAAAAGTGATGAGAATATCTTGAATACTAGTAGTTTCTTTAAAATTGAAATTGAAATCTAAAAAATTGGATATAGATGATGAATTCTCATGAAATGTATCTAAGCGCATAAGCTTATATAACAATATCGTGAGTAGTTTCTTTAAAATTAAGCAAAATGCAAATTTTAGAAAAGTGAGGTCAAGGTCTCAGGAAAGTTCAAGGTCAAACGTTTTTGATGTAGTTGTACAGTTCTTACAAATACATATCAGCATATTAAGTTTGATAAAAACATTTTGAATGGTTTATTTAAAATTGAGCTAAACACTAATGTTAAATAAATGAAGCTAAGGTCAAAGGTAACGTCAAGGTCAAATATGTTGATGCAGTTGAAAAGGTTACACCAGTATGTATTAGCATATGAAGTTTGATAAAAAAAATATTATGAATGGTTTCTTTAAAACTGGGTTAAACACAAATTGAGAAAAGTGACGTCAAGATCAAAGGAAAGGTCAAAGTAAAAAAAAAAATAATGCAGTCGAATAGCTTACATCAGTATGTATCAGCATATGAAGTTTGACAATACTCTTTATGACCAAGGTTAAAGTTTTTCAAAAGTAGGTCAAACTCCAAGGTCAATGTCAAAGGATTACAATTGTTGGTATCCAAATGAAGGACTTGTCACAAGGAATAGTCATCTTAAATATGAAAGCCCTGGCACCAACCGTTCAAAAGTTCTGTCCAAGGTCAAAGTTTTCCAAAGTAGGTCAAACTCCAGGGTCAGATTAAAGCGTCAAAGTTGTTGGCATCCAAAAGACTTTTCAGAAGGATTACATATGTGAAGTATGAAAGACCTAGCACCAACCGTTTAAAAGATATGGCCAATGTTAATGTTTTCCAAAAGTAGGTCAAACTCTAAGGTCAAGGTCAAAGGGTCAAAGTACAAATACATGTACATTTCATTACATTAACCCTATAACAGGTTATTTTCGCGGAGATCCAATTTTCGCTTTCTTTGTGAGCTTTTTAAAATCAAAATGATAAAAACTCTTATTTAATTGTCACTGGTTGTTGTCCGTATAAATTACAAAATAACTACTATAGAGAAACTCTTTAATTTTATGTCATATATACCTTACATTGACTTCAGTATACGTGCCAAGTTTAGAAAAAATGGTATTTTCTTATATAATCCTATAGTAAATGTACCTGCATTTTGAGATGGTCCCTGAAAAGTAACTACACGGTAGATTTTCACTAAATGCTACTATAGACTTTTTGCTCAAATTATATTATTTGATGAGTAGTACTATATTGTACATTTTAAGCAAGAAACACAAAATTCTACCGTTTGGTTTCCAGAGGGGGCATCTCAAAATGTCAAATTTCATATTTTCCTGTTTTTATGGAGTATTAGATTTCTTAACCTGGGATCTTCTAAATCTGTTAATTTTTATAAATTATGTAAAAATAGTTGCATTAAAAGAGTAAATGCGGTTTATTTTACTATGCTGCGCGAAGTACAGGCGGCCCCCTTAAAGTACTAATTGTTTTTTTTTTCAAAGAATTAAAATGGTCATTTTGCATATTATTATTCCAGAAATTTAAACTATAAACCCAGTACACTATACCTGTACTTGTATATTGATAATTTATCTCCCAAATTTAGGGAAAAAATTCTTTTTAAAATTTAATGCAAGCAAATCGATATCTACTAGTAAAAGGCAGAAAATGGCAAGGTATGCCACTAAGTAAAAATCTTTGTAATAATGATCAAATTGCTGATGCATTCACTATATCCTGCGATGTAAAGCTTTTAAATTAAATAAAAATTACCTTGGTAGTTATTATTCTCATATATTTGAGGATATATTTAAGTACATGTATAATTCAGTGTCGACTATGAATGCGGTTCCGACAGGAGTTCACACACGGTACAAGTTTGGGGACTTGCACACAAGTAAGTATATACAGAAACTGAGGACCTAATACACACGGTGCAAATATGGGGACGTACACGCATAATGATATATAGAGAAACTAAGGATCTAATACACACGGCACAAGTTTGGGGACCTACACACATAATAACGATATATAGAAAAATTGAGGACCTTATACACATGGTACAAGTTTGGGGACTTACATGCATAATGATATTATAGAGAATCGGAGGACATTATACACACGGTACAAGTTTGAGGACTTGCACACAAGATAAATATACAGAAACTGAGGATCTAATACACGGTACAAGTTTGGGAACTTACATACATAATAACGATATGTAGAGAAACGAACTGCGGACCTAATACACACAGTACAAATTTGGGGACTTTGTGACGGTACATATTGTCGTTTTGTACATATTGTCGTCGGCGAAAATATGTATCTACCCTCACTGCACATATTGACGTCCATCGGTAGATATTGTCGCCGACTGAAAAGTTACATATGTACATATTGTCGCTGGCGACATTATGTGCCTCACCCTCACTGTACATATTGTCGCCCCACAGAAATTGTTGTTTAAAG